AACATGTCAGTCTGTAGACTGATATGGATGAATATGACTCTACCAATGAGATACCTTAAATTTAAAATCATTCTGCAGATGAGAAAAATTAGTACATGTAATTTGGATAGCAGTCTTATTTTCTAGCATTACATTATCTAATTAATTAGATGCAGGATTATGAAGACTTCTAAAAGACATACCACAAATAAATTAATATTCTTATATTAACTACATTCAAATTTTATTCATGATGTATTTTTGATGCAAAGTTTTAATTTTCAAATTTTAACTGTATTTCTTTTTCAAATTTTACTATGACTGTATCTTTCATATCTTTCTCTCATTTTTTGTGTTTTCAATATATAAAACATTCAATGTAATTATGAGCAGGAATGCTCCCCTGTCACCTAGTCTGGTAGGACAGGTTGTGGAAACAAATGGTCATAAAATAGAACTTACATATGAATAATTGTTGACTTTTATCATGAATTTTGCATTTGCCGTTTATATTATAAAATGATAAAGTAAAACTGGTATACGTTCAGTCTAATCATTATTTATCAGAGTTTATTTGGTATGCTTTCAGAATACTATTGAAAATCATAAGTAAAACTGGTATGCTTTCAGTATATTCAGTATTTATCAGAGTTTGTTTGGTATGCTTTCAGTATACTATTGAAAATCATAAGTAAAACAGGTATACTTTCAGTATATTCAGTATCTTCATACCTATTTACAGATCTATATTCAGTATATATACCTATTAATTGGTATGGTATCAGTCTGGTATCAGTATAGACTTATCAACAAGGTATACTTTTAGTATACTTTTGGTATAGACTGACTATACCTGGCAATAGGCTGGGTAAGTCTTTTACATCCCAAAACTTTTTTCTTGTCTCTTGTTGCATTTAAAGAAAAAATTAAAAAGGGGAATTCCCCCTTCACTCTGTGCACTGGTATTAAACTGGACTAATGAAGAATAATTTATAGTATTTACCATTAACACATGTGCAAGGTTCAGATTCTGAAAAAAACATAATTTTTGATAATTAGTACAAATATATGTATCCTACTATGTCATGTAGCAATTGTTTTGATTGTCAACATTTGGAATCAGGCTATATCTTTGAACTATATTTTAACCAGGCCACTTACCAATCTGACAACTTTTAGATGTTGTCCTTGAGGCTGGTATCTATATTGAGGCAATGGTATGTGTATATTGAGACAAACATATCTATATATTGAGGCAACTTAACTTTATGTATTGAGGCAATGGAATATAATTTTTGCATCAATTTCTTTAAAAATTTTACCTTTTCTCACTTTGCCGAGAACAAACATAAGAAAAATATTTTGCCATCTTAAATTTGAGGACCCTTGATAAAGGCCTGCCTTATCAATATATAGCTCTATGTACATATTAAGATAAGACAAATACATATGTAGATCAAAGGAAATACTCTGAATTGATTGACGTCACATTTTCAAGTAACGAATTACATGTTTTGTTGATCCTAGATAGGTCATTTGTTATCTACTCAAGCGCCATTCACTTTTACAAATTTTCTTTGACCTCTGCTGACATTGAGTCATTAGTTGACGTCACCTTACAAAAGAATGTCTTGTAAAACATCATCTATGACCTCAAGAAAAATCTGGACTGAGTCAGCCTATCACACATTCGGTTCTCGTATTTGTTTTCTTCAATTCAGGGCTGGTCTATAATGGAATGATTTGATTGGTTAATTTGATAGATTTAAAGGAGTCACACCTTTGTATTATGGTTAAGGGTTGGGGGATGGTAGTGGGTTAGTCTTACTTTAAACCCTTGAGATCCCTGAGCTTAACATACCTTATTTCCACAAGGTCTTGTTTGGAGGTGAAATTAATGGGGGAGGGGGGTCCAGGGGTTTAGTACAAGACTGTATATACGTTACCATGGGGACTAGTGGGGATGTAGGGATTTATGGGAGGTTGAACATAGTACTTGATAACTGCAACCTTTTTTAAATACCCAAATGGTAAAATGGTCTGAAAAGAAACACTTTATGGACAGTTAGTACGTATGAACTAGCAAATTGCTAACTATATAGGAAACATAAAAACATATTTATGACACCTAATGAAGGTTGTAAATCATTGGAACTGAGAAGCCTGTGCGGGTTATCAAATAGAAAGGCTTTACTGGTAGACCAATAAAATAACTTTTAACTATGTCGAGGATAGATCATATCATTTGTACATTTGTGAAGGTCAACTTTTAGTACACCGTAAGTGCAAGGCCCCATTAAATGTATAAACCCATGTTTTTAAATGTCATTAAATAAGGCCAGCCATAATTCTATGAAGGATCCCATTGAATCTATATAGACCCCGTACTTATCCCCTCTAAAACCGATCCCATGGACATCCCCTTCTACTTTACCACATATCGAAGATAATATTGGACTTGAGGAATATTGAGAAGAGAAGGAACTAAAAAATGTTCTCACTTTGAGATGCTCTATTAAAAGAGGTGTTGAGGTATACATGTTTTACTATCATCTTATTTCACAATTAAGTCGGTTTTTCGTAGGTGTTCGTGCTATTGTGTCACAACCAAAAATGGTGACAATGTCACCAAAAATGGTGACAAATCATCACAGCTGCTGTAACAATTCATATTTTATTTTATTATTTGCACTAACCTACCATGTACCAGGATATGGTGACATTTTGTCATGTTTGCCTGGTTTTCAATGAGAAGGACATATCTATATCACTAGTTCTTAACAATCAACTTTGACCTAATGTTGTTTTTTATTACATGTGTGTACTGTAATTAAATATGATTATATAGCACCTCGTTTATGTAAGGAATTCAAACAACAAACAAAAAACGAATGTCCATAAATTGGGACTCATTAAAATTAACTTTGACCAATCAATAAACAAAACAAACAAAAAACATCCAAGATTTTTGAGGTTTTCATAGTTCCTGTTTTGAAAATGTTGTTTGTGAGTTATGTGTTTTCACCTTAATTATTAACTCGTTTGAGATGTCATGATAATCCGTAGCATCACATTAAACCAAGTAAATAATGAACATATAAAATCTTGTTTTATACAAATATTAATAAAAAATGCCAAATCTAGTACATAAAATCAAGTCTTGCTTTCCCTACTTACTCTTTGTCACTGGCAGGTTTCGAAGGACATGCTAAAGGTAGTTTTTTCATTTAAGCCTAAAATGGGCTTTCTGAAACCTCATTTTTAAAAAAGCCCCATTTTTGACAAAATTAGCTTTTTGGTAAATGAACCCTCATTGACCCCAAATTTTCCCTTTTCCAATTTCCAGATCTCCCACTGATTATAGAAACCAAAAAAAAACATGGGGGAGGAGGAAGGGGGGGGGGGGGCACTGGAACAATATACTTTCCATAACAGGAAGTATTATGAAATCTAAAAAAATGTTCTAGTTTTTGGACACTGACGGTATCTGAGAAAAGTATGCTGTAATACATGTATGTGTTCAAATATCCTTGACCATTATGGTTGTAATTATGGCTTAACATTCCTCCATAATCTGTTTTAGTCCTCTATAGTCTAAAATTGAGATATCTGTTTTCTGATAGTTCTATGTACATGTGAAAAAAACTAAAGAAAGAACTGGTACCTTGGACAGGTTTGACAAGTAATTGATTAAAGGGATTCTACTGGTATCTTTGGTTCTTTAACTGGTAACTTTTTAGAGTTAATATCTAAATGTATCACATGTTATTTTTGATCATTGAAATAACACATGAATATTCTTAGAAATAAGGATTTAACCAACCAGAATATGAAGAATAATTCAAATCATTGTAGTAAAGGTGGACTGTATCTGGAGCACCCAGATTCTGGACGGCCAGTGAAAAAAATATGTACACTATGATGCAGTAAAGAGGGCAATAAATTTTCTCTGGTCCCATGCCAAAAATGCCGTCTGCTTTTGTGTTTTCCTCTCCATTTCTCTATAATATTTGAATAAAGTTATTGAATTTCTTGCATTTCTATACAATTTAGAGTATGAACTTCATGTCCGTATATGTTATTCCTTGCTAATTCCACTTCTTTCCACTCTATTTTGCATTTTAAAACAGTACCAACGTGACCTTTTATTGATAGAATATAGCAGAGCTAGCTCCAGTTCAAACTTGTTTTCGTAAATAGTATATAAGCCAATGTCGGGTTAACTGGTTCAGATAAAAAAAACATACGAGAACAACTGTACAAGAGAGAATTCAGCATTACAGGTGTATACAAGCATATTACTACAATTCAACTGAGATAGAGAAGATACAAACTATTGAATTAAGATCATAAGATTATATAAAGCTACGTACCATTGGAAAGCAAATAATACGATCAGTGGGAATAGGATGTAAATTGCTAGATATTACTGGCAAAAATTAAGAGGATATTTTTATACTTGAATTGAACCATAAAGACACTTGACTTTAAAATTTTAAGAGACTGATCAAAAATGGCACCCAGCGCTGCCAGCAGCTTAGGAAAACGTATAAAGGCTTTGAAGGCAAACTGTAGTTATACAAGGTCAGTGTATCTAATGTTAGGACCATATATCAGACTTGGTTTATATCAGGCCTTTTACTGGTATTAGGCATGTATGGCAAAATCTCAAAAACAGCAGATAACATGCAATTTATAGATAGAATAAAAATATGTGCAAAATAGGTGTATTTTGGAAAAGAAGAAGGAAGATCTTGTTTTAAATTTCCAGGTAGATAAAATCGGCAACTACTGCTAAAGTAGCTGTCACATCAGGCCATGCCATTCGCCGCTGCCACCCCAAAGTATTCACACAGTAGAAAACAGTGCGCCCACACTGGCTAGTGTGACAATTCAATAACAAATGAAAGGGCTTTACCTGTTAGTTTGTTTTTGGTACAATCGACTCCATGCATTTTTCCATGTAAACATTAAATTTATTTGTAATAAATATTTTCATATGTGTGATTGTCTATTTTCAGATGTCGCAAGGGGGAGCTGTTTGACTACCTCACTCAAGTCGTAACATTATCAGAGAAACGTACACGTACAATAATGAGACAATTAATCGAAGCTGTGGCTTTTATACATGATAAAGGCATCATACACAGAGACCTCAAGGTGTGTAGTGTATTTCGTAGTATGACATATTGGAAAAATACAATGTTTGAAGTAGGAACTACAATTGAGATTGAAAATGACTTGCCTGATAGAAATCCTAAAAAATCGAGGAATTTTTACCAATTCTGAAGAATTTTCAAAAGTTTAAAAAAAAAATTTTGAAAACACTATGTTAATGCATTGAGAACCTTAAATTGAAAGTATTCTGAACAAAATACAACGTTGGCTCAAAATTCTCTTATTTTAAGCAACTGAAGCAGATTTTAACTGTCTAGTCAATTTTTTGAAAATCAGCTTTGTAAAAATCAAAAGGAAAGTTTACGGTGGCCTTATCAGATATACAGGATAGGTTATTCTGGTCACCTTAGTAACTGAATAAATAAACAGGGTCTAGAAATGGGTTAATGTTTCAAGGTGCCTTTGTATATAAGAACATGTTCACATTTTCACATACTGAAGATGTATCTAGTTTATACAGGAGAGAAAAATCAATTTATTTTATCAGTTCAATCCAGTTTTGTTTAGTCTCTCTGGTATTTGGGTCTTTTTTTATTTGGTAAATAGTTAGGCAATTAGTTAGTTAGGCAATTTGAGAAATATATTCATGAATTTTCTCAATACTTACATAACATTTACAATACTTGATCAATTTTGTATTTTCAGCCTGAGAATATTCTGCTAGATGACAATCTTAACATTATGCTATCAGACTTTGGGTTTGCACACGTCATGGCCCAGGGGGAGACTCTAACTGACCTGTGTGGCACCCCAGGGTACCTAGCCCCTGAGGTCCTTGCAGTGTCCATGTACGAGCAGGTGGATGGCTATGGCTGTGAGGTCGATATGTGGGCAGTTGGGGTCATTATGTATACTCTGTAAGTCTACATTTATTTTCTAATTTTATTTTTTCAATATTCATTCATTGATAAGTTTCACCATATCTGCTTGTATTACTTACATATATTTACTACAAAATGATTCATTTTTGTTGAGATTTATTTTATATGATGCTTTATGGTTTCAAAATGAAATGATTCATTGGTCTCTAGCTAGGAAGAGTAATGTCCATTCATTATTAGACTATATGGGATGTATTTGTCATTATGGGATATATTTGTCAATATGGGATTATTTGGCATTATGGAATGCATTTGTCATTATAGGGTGTACTTATCATTAGGGAATAGTATTTATCATTATAGAATGTATTTGTCATATTCATCACTGTTTAAGATGCTACCCAGTATTTATGACTATGCTCTGTATGTATTTCAGTCTATCAGGTCACCCTCCATTCTGGCACAGAAAGCAAATGTATATGCTGCGTGCAATCATGGAGGGCAAATACAAATTTGGTAGCCCTGAATGGGATGACATTAGCGACCCTCCGAAAGATCTGATATCAAAACTATTAGTTGTAAATCCTAAGAAAAGACTGACTGCCAAGCAAGCATTAGAACATCCATTTTTTAAGAGAGAGGTATGCTATAACTTTATAAGTTGCTCTCTATAGAAAATTTCATTGTGGTTATGTTTTAAATTGCAAAATAGAGTGGAAAAGAGTGGAATCTGCAAGGAATAAATTAAACAGACATGTAGTCGACACTCTAAATTGTATAGAAATGCAAGAAAATCTGACACTTCATTCAAATTTTAGAGAGAACTACATGAAATAAACATGACCACCTTGACCATTTTGTAAATACAATTTAAAATTTTAAAGTAAAAGATTTGATAATTATTGATAATTTACTAAGTTTGAACTTTATAACTGCATATGAGGAAATCTCCAGTCTCAACTCTCCAATTAGAGGATAGATATATGATTTATCTTAGTTTTTTGACATATAAGAACAGTTTGTTTTTTCTGACATTTGTGTTGTACTGTAAATGCATGATGAATGATTTTTTGTTTTTTGCTATTGAAATTTTGTTTTGTTGTCCAGTATTTAGTAATTAGTGTATATTTAACTAGATGTTTATATGAACGTGATTATTTCATGTAGTTACCTAAATAGTTGCTATATCTAGTAGTCTCGCATGGAACTTTCTTTTGTTGAAAACTTTTTTTCACAATTTTTTATTTAATTTCATACTTTCATACTTTATGTTGGCCATCTTGCTCATAATTTTTATGTCCCCACACCACATAGTGTGGGGCCATATTGTCGGCCTAGGCGCGTCCGTCTGTCCGTCCGTCCGTCCGTCTGTCCGTACGTCCGGCAGTTTTCTCCAAAACCGCTACAGATATCACCTTCAAACTTTCAGGGATAACTTATGAGTGCATACAGATGTGGACGAAAAAATTTTAACTCAATACCTACTTCCTGTCGGCCATTTTGAAGTCAAATGCTAAAATCCTTGTCTGCAAACTTTAAGAAAAACGGCTTCACAGTTGCTTTTAAAACTTTAACATCTTGTTCAGCTCACTTCATTCTAGATCTGATTAGGTTTTGGACCTGTTAGCTCAGTCATGTCAGCCATTTTGAATGATTTAAGAAAAGTTATCGCACGATAATACTTTGTATCATATTGAATGGTGTTTTTCAGTTTTCATACTTTAACTATTTAGTAGCTTCATAAATAATTTCAGGTGTACTTTGTTGTAAAAGCCTATGTTATTGTTAACAGTAGTTATATGTGATAATTTTGTAAGAAGAAATCAGCAAAAACTCATATTCACTTTTTTATTGTTGGCCATTTTGGATTTTTCCGTCCTAAAATCTTGTCTGTAAAGTCTTGTCTATGCATTTCCAGGTGAACCATTTGCTAGATCAATTTCAAATTTTCAGGGATGATTCTTAGTATGAAAATCTAGATCTGATTAGTTTTTGGGCATTCTGGGTAAATGTCAAGGCAGCCATTTTGGATTTTCCGTCTTAAAATCTTGCCTGTAAAGTCTTGTCTACGCGTTTTTAGGTGAACCATTTGGTAGATCAATTTCAAATTTTCAGGGATGATTCTTAATATGAAAATCTAAATCTGATTAGTTTTTTGGCATTCTGGGTAAATGTCAAGGCAGCCATTTTGGATTTTCTGTCCTAAAATCTTGCCTGTAAAGTCTTGTCTACACGCTTTTAGGTGAACCGTTTGGTAGATCAATTTCAAATTTTCAGGGATGATTTTTAGTATGAAAATCTAGATCTGATTAGTTTTTTGGCATTCTCGATAAATGTCAAGGCAGCCATTTTGGATTTTCTGTCCTCAAATCTTGTCTGTAAAGTCTTATTTACATGTTTTCTGGTTAACTGTGTGACGGATCAATTTCTTAGTATGAAAATCTAGAACTGACTAATTCTTTGGCATTCTGGGTAAATTTTAAGGTGGCCATTTTGGATTTTCCGTCCTCAAATTGTGTCTGTAAAGTCTTGTCTACTCATTTTCAGGATAACCATTTGACGGGACCACCAATAGGTGGGGACATTTTGTACACATTTGTGTTCTTGTTATTTTTTATTTCACATTTAGAAGTTCTTATAGCACATTTAATTTACATTTTTTTAGATTTCAGTGCTTAAAGGTTCTTGCACATGTATGCCAATGTTCTCCGTTTTACTAAAGCACTCGCATTTCGCTGCTCACTTAGATTCTTTATTTTGATATTTCATTTCACTTTTTTTACCATGCATTTATTAAAAACACTTTTGCATGTAGATATTATTTGCTTGTTGCTTTGTTTGTTGTTAAACAGTTGTTTGCTTGTTTGTTTACTTCAGGATGTACTCAGTATCTCACCATCTATGTTACAGACTGTACCAGTGAAAGAATTTAATGCCAAAAGAACATTTAAAGTAAGTCGGCCATCTTGTTTTTTGTAGTCTGAATGACTTTTGGTGGTTATGTTGATTGAGTGGAATTATTTTTTAATACTTTTTTTGTGTATCTATTTTATAGAATATTTAAAAGCAAAAACATGACCATCAGGTCCATATTCAGATGTACATTTTTATAATGTTTTCTAAGATATTGTATTTAATATAAGATTAATTTTTAACTATATTTATTTACTACGTGTATAACTGTACTCTGGAAGTTTTATTGAGTACAAGGAGTTACATTTGAAAAATAATATACCTTTATTGTAATTATGTACAGTTTTTGCTATGTGTACTGATATCATTTGATATATACATAGTCTACGTATACATATCTATAATATGACTGGCAGATCAAGGAATTGTGAACTCATCAACTTACAGATATTTATATGTCTGTATATGTCTACATATTACTTTACGATTAATCTAATCATTCAAACTTACAGTCACAGCAAAATTGAAAATATAGAAAAATAGTGCTTTTTATCATGTTCTTTATTTCGATGTTATTTACATTTTCCAGGTTGCCATTATAGCAGTGTTAACAACATTTAGGATCCGAAATCTACACTTCAACCCCCCTCCCATATCAATAGACACTATTAAACATGATCCATACAGTGTGAAAAACTTTAGGAAAATTATAGACGGGTGTGCATTTAAAGTATATGCCCATTGGGTCAAAAAGGGGGAGGAACAAAACCGTGCTGCTCTATTTGAAATTACTCCAAAAATGGACTTGAAGGTTGCCCAGAATTCACACAGGTGATACAGGTTGATCTATTAGCATGGCCTGGTTATTGCAGCATGATTGTTGATTGAGCAGTTTAAATGGCCGACATTGGAACAAGCTTATTATTCATTGTAAACAATGTTTGTTAACAAGTGACTCAACTAATATGTTAATGACATCAACCATGTGGCTTGTTACTATAGCAACTAAGGTGGGGATTACCCAGAGACAAACCAAATAAGGAATGACGATATGTGAAATCGCTTTTATTGGTGTAGTACTGCACACCTCTAAGTAGTGCTACAAGAGATGTTGTTATAATACTATTGATGATGGACTTCGATACTCAATATGTTAGGGTCATTATATATGTTTAAATACATCTCAATTGTATTGCATGATTGTCATTAGATAAAAACCCGAGTGCTCTAATACCATTTTTTCTATTTTCTCCACAAAAATGAAAAATCGATGATTTTGAAATACCATACATCTGTTAAAGAACTGAATTCTTCAGTTATTCACATCTTATTTTAGTAATGGGGGTAAAAAATTTAAAAAAAAATCAATCAAACAAAATCTGATTGTATTGAAGTTTTGTATTATGAGAAAATCCACCTGCATTTAGTTAATATTAGTTGTGACTTTTTTTGCCAAATGTAGGTATGTAGACTTTTAGTAAATTAAATAAATTATTTATTATATTTATTCAAAACCATGTGTAGTTTAAGTGGTTGAGATGTACAGTTTAAAAAAAAGAACGCACAAAATAACATGTTAACAATTACATATTATAACATGCAAAAAATTACATGTAAATGCAATCACATTAATAACATATGAATGCAAAAATACATGGAAATGCACATTATAACATGCAAATATTACACGCAATTGAAATGCAAAAATTATATGTAAATGCACATTATAACATGCAAAAAGATTACATGTAAATACAATGTACAACCATATCAAATGCAAAAATTAGACATTATAAAATGCAAAATATTACATGCAAATGCACACACAGGTCACGAATAGCATGTAAATGCAAAAATTACATGTTAATTCATCCAGGCATTCCAGAATAAAAATCGCAAAATAAGGCAGCTTAAAATATTAATGCACTCACTAAGAGTACATCGTAATAAATTAAGCGATTTGTGCATTACAGTATCTGTCACAGTGCTTGCCATTTAAATGCAACATTTATTCTGGCTTTTTTGTCTTATATCTCAATATAATACTAGACTTCATATGAGTACATATCACTCTCTAAAGAAGAAGCAGAACATGTTATGATTAGTGTTGAGATTTGGAGATGAAGTTATTTTGGAATCCAACTTTTGGTTTAGCTCCAAATCTCGCAACTTCATGAAAAGTTTTGCTCCATCCATCTTGTAGATTGGGCGTCATTTTGGGGCTGTTGGGGCTGGTCTAATATCAGTGTGAATTATTTTATGAAATCAATAATGATTGAAGTTAATCATGACTCCATTATTATTTATTCATGTAATATAATTATGATCGAGTATTACATTTACACACTAGAAACCCATAGGGGGGGGGGGGGGGGGTATATCAGTGCATAATCAAAATTTGAAAAACCATAAAACCATTGAACATTAAGTGGATGCTATTACAACAAAAATTTGCGATAAGGTTCAACAAATGAGGGAGGGAGTTGTGAAATGGGTTTTATGAAAATAATTTGATATTTTGACCCAGCCCCAAGAGATAAGGCGCTTGTCTCACCTACTTAAAAACCTTGTTTGATTATTGAAATCTAGGTCTGGTTTTGTAATAGTTAGTTTTTTATCTTATGTAGTAATGTCGCACATCATTCTCGGTTCAAATTAATATTTTTGCTACAATTAGTGCCTTTAAATATGGTGCATTACAAATGATGACATTTTTATTTCATGGGATTTCTTTGACATTTGAGTATTAAGAATCAAAATTAGTAATTTATTTCTGAGAAACACTCATTTGGTTAACAGATAATTTTTGAATACCTTATTAAACATTCAATGTCAGATTAGGATCTGTTCAATGATATCTGTGAATTGTATCTCATAAGACTACATGTCATATTATTGAATTATCAACTGGTCATGTGATGTGATCTGACCAATCACAGTCCATCATTATAGTTTGAGATGTGATAATTAGGAATATTACAGGGTTCTTACATTTAGAGACAGTAAGAAAATTTTGAATTGTTCCTAAATTAGTGTGCTAGACTTGGATGAAGAGGACACTTTGCTGTTAATGTCTCTGTATAGTGTTATTTTGTACATATACAACACATATGTATTAGAATGTTCTAATTTATTCTGAATGTTCATGTTTATAACCCTGCTGAGGGGTTGAAATACAGAAAAATGCAGTTCATTTTTAAATATGTGTTTTGTTTGCTTATGTTAAGGATGCATGATTTAGCCTAGATTTGTTAAACATGTTAAAATGGATTGTGTGTTGTTTCAGTGCTTGGAATTCAATGTTTTGTATGTCGCTATTTTCTGACACTCTTCCTGTAGACTCCCAGATTCCCATTGAAAAATTCCTGTCACTTTAATCCAGATTTACTGAATTTACTGAGTTCTATCATTAGAACCACTTTTGAATATCGTTCAAAGTTAATGTACAAATCTTGAATTGAATTTGATCTTGAAATATAAGATATTTCAGTTTAATTTTAATAATTTAAATATAATTTTCTCAAAATGTTCTTCTCATTTACCTTTAAAAGTTAATGGACATGTATTTTGTTTTTGACCTTTGGGAACTTTGACCTTTCAGTGTAGAGCTAGATAATATTCACCCTACACAGTCAGAGGTGGGACTACAAGTCCCACATGGTAACCATGGCAACACCAGTAGTTTAAAAGCCACAATCACCACCATACCAGCAGCCCGCGAGAGGCGGAAATTGTTCAAACAAGAACGAGAACATTTATTCTGATATGCAAGAATACTTGTCGAGCACTTGTATATTCAGCACTTTTCTCATTAAAATGAGAATAAATGGTCTGATTTTCTGGCTTTTTCTACACAATTTTGAATTCTGTTTAGGCTATTACTTGTTGAATCAAATTCTTTCCAAGTTATTTTGAGTTTTAAAACACGACTTGTGTGACTGTTACTGTATTTGTAAATTGCAATTAAAGGAGCCATGTAAAGTTTTCTTAGTTTCAAAATAGAATTAAAGGCCCTATGTAAAGTTATAAAAATGGTAAGAAATTCAAATGTTTCAAAAAAGGCTTACATTTTAATATCTTAAAATTTTTTAAATTCTTTAACCGTTGTAAGACTTGAAAAATATTTAAGAATGATAAAAATCATGTAAACACATTATTGAACTTTACATAGGGCTTTTAGGATTATGATCTGAGCCCAATTTTTGGGTATTTTCACCACTGCGCTGAATGTTAATTATGGCTTGATATTAAATGCAATTCCAATAGTCAATTGTACAAGAAAGATTTCATGAATTAATTATAAAACCACAAGTCATGAGAGGATCGTATGTCAGAGAAATGGATTGAGAACTAGACTACAAGGCATGGAATGTGATGGTACTTTTTAACACTCTATTTTATTTAGCATTTTTTATAAAACTTTTATTTATAACATTGTACGTGCTGAGAATGCTAGTATGAAAAGCGATTTAGAAAGGATTGCAACTTTTTTAGTTCACATTAAAAAAACAAAATGCACACACTGTGGGTAATACTAATAGAATTGTATGTACAGTAAAAACTTGGAGTTTAAACATATTCAAGCCTCTGTGATCCCTCCAACCCCTACACACCCACCTTCATCGAAGGTGACGTGGATAGGGGGGGGGGTGGAGGATCCAAAGACACAATGCAAAACTTTATGTCTTACAAATATTAAGTTATCATCTTAACCCACTTCAAGTTTTTACATAATACGGTATTGATATTTAATGAATATCATTTCTATACATTTAATTCAATAAAGTGGTAGCTAATTGCTGAATTTCTATTTTAACAATATTTTGTAAATCTCAAAATTACTTTAACATGAAACAGGTTTTAATAGAAAAGAAAATGTAAATATTTCAGTCAAGAACAAGAGGGGAATGACAGTAAAGACTATCAGAATCTCGAAAGTAACTTGAGCCAACCAGAACTCTTGCAAGTTCCCGACCCTCGTCAATATAAAAACAGAAGAACAGAGAGTGAAAGACGGAACATTTATCAAAAAAGCGATGATGTAAAATTCTTCCTGTAACCCCAAATGTTGGATAAGTCATCTTTTTATTTTTTTATGCCATAAAAAGGACTCAAAATTAAAATTAGACTCGTGCGATTTTAGTCTTAAAATTCCACATGCAGTGGAAGCCAGATTATCTATCTTTTGTTTTATTCATTAGTTTTATAAATTTTATAATTTATCAGACATGTCAGATGCATGTGTGATATTAATATGTTTGAGAACTATTTTTAAGGTTGACATATTTCTTAAAATAATGTGATAGAAAAAAAGGAGGCCAAATTTTTCCAAAAATATTATTGTTGTAGATGCTTGAACCTTCTTTCTGAATGTAATGCACTCTGCAGTTTTGCTGAGGCTAATGAAAAAAATATTGAGTCACCTATTACTGAAATATCTAATGGTACACTCCATGCAGTTTTGCTGATGCTAAGAAAAAAAAATAATGAAGAATATTATTAAAGAAATATTGTCATCTATTACTGAAAAATCTAATGGTACACTCCTAAGGCCTACATCAATGATTTATTTAAAATATAATTGAAAGTTGAAAAAATAATTACCTCATGTATCATGTGTCAGGTTTATATTTCATCTCTCAAAGTGATGGATTCAACTTTGTAAAAACATGTCAAGAATTCATTAATCTATTCATAACTTTTTTGAAAATAGTCATTGAATGTCTCTAGTAAATATTTGACAATTTGTAAACCTTCATGAGAACAATGTCATGGTGGTCTATTTATCCCCAATTCTCTTTTTCCCTGTTGTTTTCTCGAGTAGCTTCATTTTCTGGCATTTCTATACTACAGTAAAACCTGTAGTAAACAATTCTCTCTAGTGAACACCACTAAAGACCACCCAAGACATATTCTATTGTGGCTCCATACTAAGTGTTCACTTTTACAGGTTTTATTTGCGTTGATTACATGCCTGTTTAGTTTATTCCTTGCTTATTTCACTCTTTCCTTTCAATGAAAGTTATAGACAGCTTCACCATCATAACAATGTTCTGATGAGAGTACTTGTTTTTGAAGTTTTTATCGATATTTCAAAGTCCCATCCTCCAAATGCAACATACAGACAAAATCCATTATTTTCACTTAGAAAAGGGTGGATGGTATCTGTACCCCTGCACTTGGAGGATGAACAGCTGTTATGAGACATATGACTCTATCATGCATGCCTATTTTATTATGTAGATATTTGTACATACACATCTGTATATGTATAGGTAATTTATGAATTAATTATGCACATTGTATATTTGTTTTGAGATGAATAAAGTGTTTGTTACAACTTAAAGGAAAAATAGTTTTGTTCTTTCTTCATTTAGACATTTTCAGATAAAATATAATAAAAAGTTTTCGCTCTGGATAAACAGTAACGACAGGTTCCTCAGAATTACTGTTAAACTGGGTGCAAAGGCACAGTCAGCACCATGTTTCTAATATAATGTCTAATAACAGTCTAATAACAGTATAATGAATATTGATAGTGCTCATTGTGTGCAAAGGTCTCATTTGCCTGAGAAATTCATCAAACATCCTTCAAGTAAAACTCCCAGATAGAATCATTAACTGCACCAAAGTCATCACATATTTTTCATAAAATTACTCAGACCAGCTGATGGTTCATTCCCTTCCCAAAAGTATGCTTCATTAATTTATTTTACAACAATCCAAAAGGTTTTTTTCAGTCACGATATGGCAAATTATTTATTACTACATTTTGAAAAACTTCAGAATACAAAAAATAATGCAGACACATTTTACCTGAGATATCATCGTCTCAAGCAATCCATCTCTGCCTTCCCATTTTTCAGAAAACAATGGAATATAGGAAAAAGCGATGTGAGTTGTATATTATTGTAGATTTAGCATAAGATGGCACTAATATCTTCCTTCGCGTGTACAAAGATCCATATTATGGATTGTATACAGTATACACTCAGTATACACCTACATAGTATCATATATATACAGAAAGTTTTAAACTTTTGAATTCCCCGCCATAAAAGTTACCCATGATTCTTTGCTGTTGCCAGGCTGCAGGCGCCATATTGGAAATATTAAAAATTTCTGCAAAAGATAAAATCGCACCAACTTTTGCGAAATATATACTTAATTGTTGCTTGGTTTGGTACCAAAACAAATTCAAAATGTCTGTTAGTCTAGAAGAATACTTCAGGACAACTTTCGAGGATAAACTCCTCGTGTAAGTAGAGTTTTTCTCATATTTTTCAAAAATAGTTTGAATATTTTCTGAGTTTTTCATGATTTTTTTTAATTTTCTTAATTTTAAGTCCAGTCCCCATCTCCCCGTGGTGTGCTGCTGATAGGCAGGACTTGGAATACTATATACAAGTTCATGTCCCTAAATTTGTTTCTGCTGACTTATGGGGAGTAACAGTAAGCCATTCCCCCTCTCTAATATTCTCTAGACATCTACAGTGTAGGCCTATATAAAAGTAAATTATTATGTAAGCTACAGAATATAAGAGGGAGAGGTGACTTACTCCCCATGCGCTGACTTCAGCTTATGGCTATTGAACTACTAGTGTCATCTAACCAGCCCTGTCAATTGTCACGCATTTGCTGGAAAAATAGAAATCACGCATCAATTTAGCGTGTATGACCAAATATCACGCAAAACACGCATTATGTTGATATTTTAAAAAATAGATGTAAGTCTTGATGAAATATCCAAACTTAAATATATTTTGACACTGGTCCATGATCCTTGAATGGCCCCTCTGCACTAAATGTTGCAACTTTAAGAATGTCAGCATCATAACATCAGAAACCTTTATTGTTTATTTATTTATTTATTCTTTGTATCATTAGTTGCCATTTGCTAATGTTGTCATGGAAACTACCAATGATATTGCTGACATTCTTCCAATTGTTACCAATGAACACAATGAACAAAACAAGTATTCCAAGTATTTCTTCAAGTTTGATTTCCAAGTAATCAGATTCTTATTACAATTCCCAGAAAGTTGTTCACTCAATCAGATGATGCAATAGATTGTTGTCATGGCAATGGACTTTGATGGATGAAAACAATGAAATTTCTGTCTAATCATTCTCCAATTTTGGTATTTCTAAGATTTGATTTGAATTTCACAAAAATGTTCACAAAGTGAAAAGAACATTTATAACCATTGAGAGCCGTGACATCTCATTGCACAAGACCTGTCATTCTACATACAGGATGTCTATGGATGGTTACTTTACTCATTTATTTAACTGTCTCCAGAAAGATGCCTGAAAGGGAAGATGACCACCTGACGCCCGCCACACGACTCTTGGAGAAGCGACGTGAAATGTCAGAGGTGGAACAGGCCCTAGCTGCCCAGAAAGAGGTTTGTCCTATACAGTAGGCCTAAATCTGACCAAAATGTTTTAAATAAAATGGAACTATGAATTTCTGTTTTAGAAGCAATTAATAAATCTATTAAATGTCATATATGGAGAACATTGCCTTCCCATTCTCTTAAAAAGTCACAAAATGTATAATTATAGTGATTATTTTAAGTAAAATAAACTGTTAATACTGAATTATGAAAATTTCTTGTTGATTCATATTTATTCTTTGTTTTGCAGGAGTTCCAGATGAAGATGGAAAGTTTACAACAAAGAAGAGAGGAATTGGAGAGAAAAGAATTCCAACTGAAAGAATCATTGCTCAAATTTGACAAATTCTTAAAGGTAACATTTTGCTTCACTTTTAAAGGGCACAATAATTACTATGTCTGCTCTGGGTATAACCACCCAGCCAGCTAACAGGCTAACATTTTGGCTTCTCTGAGAAAAATCCAACTTTCAGTCTTGTATCAAGCCGTTTTGTGTTTCATCAACCCATAACACATTTTCTGGTTTCTGAAATGACTTATTCACATGTCAAAAGTTGGTGGAAAATCAATGTTAATTTCACAATTGTTTAAACTACTCCTATGAAAATCGACAACATTCTTTACAAATGAAACTCCCTCACCCTAATGGAATAAAGTTTGTTTGCAACTTTCCACTACTGACAAAATTTTGACCCCATCACTTGGTTAGAAGAGATGTAATGTAAGATATCCACTTTCAACATGTCTGACAATTAATTGTTGTTTACAGGAGAATGACTCTAAGAGGGCAAGGGCTGTTAAGAAGGCAAATGATGAGAGGGACCTCAAACGAGTAAAAGATAGAGAGATTGGCAGGTATGTCATTACCCTTTGTCAAGAGTTTAACTTTTTTGTAGATTAGATTTCTATATGCAGAACAAAATCCCATACATACAGTAAAACCTGTAAAGTGAACACCTTTGGAGCCACGAAAAAGTGTTCCCTGTAGCTAGGTGATCACTACAGTGAGGGAATTTTATACAAGAATCAATGTGAAATGTGTCTTGGGGTGGTGTTCACTAAACACAGGTGTTCAATAGACAGAGGTGTTCACAATGACAGATTTTACTGTGCATACATTTTTTCTGGTTAAAATATTTAATTCAAAAATAGTAGTAAATTATTACACTGTTGAGGGATCAGGAAATTGTTAATTAACATATATCATATTGTCAAGTTCAAAATATATTCCAGTTTTTTTAGTGGACTATTGGATATTTTCAATGCCAATTTTACCATCAAAAACCTTAAAATGATTGCAGCTTTTTATCCCCCTCTCTTACTCTTAGAGTCGTAGAGCTGCCAATATATCTCAATATCAATTATCCTGAATGTTTAAAACTGACTTTGAACATTCTTCATAGAGACTCATTCAAGGAGAAAATGAATTGGTTACGAACCAAACATTTTTACAATTTTATGGCAATGGGTACTTTACACTAACTTTCAAAACACAACAACAAAGCAATCATTATTTTTTTAATATTTACTTTCAGGCTATTTGATGAAACGGGCACATTTGCGGGCCAAAAACAAAAGCTACATGACAGACTGGAAAAGCATGCTATGTTTCATAAATACCTAGAGAAGGTTTTAGAGTCAGCGGAGGAATTTCACGAAATTCGGGAAGTTATAGCCAGATATGATACACTTGTTGCAACTCACAAGGTAGGCCTAGATGGTTTTTTATTTTAAATCCATAATTAGCCTGTAGATGAGAAAATAGCATGTCATGCTCCTTTTTTAATAAACAGTATTGACTACATGTCTGTTTCCTTTATTCCTTGCTGGTTCCACTCAATTTTGCATCTTAAAACATGACCACGATGACAGTTGGTTTAAAAATATTTTAACGCATGGAAATATACCTTTTTACAATAATGAAAGTAGTTCGCTGATATTGGAAGAAACAAAATTTGTATCACAAACCTTTAAACATTCCAAGTGTACAAGTCTCTTGAAAGCCCATGTTATTACGAAGTTAAAAATAGAATGAATGAATTGTGTCTTAAATGCTGTGCAAAATGTTTACATTATGTTACATTTCTTTCAGGACCTCTTAGAAAAAGATCATGAAAACCAGGATTTAATAGAAGACCAAAAACAGGAATTTTCACACTTTATGGAGGTAGTGTACCAAAACAAAACTATTGTTGATTTCACTTATTTTCAAAGTCGACTCAATTTTTATAAAATTGAGCCTCGCCATAGGAAAACTGGTCTTATCACAAAAATTTAAATTGTGCTACATGGCCAAAAATGTGCTCAAGATTAAAAGGAAAATGTGCCAAATTCAAATCCATCTTTTTGGTCTATATCTGCAAGGAAAAATTGTTAAGACATTAGCCATGGCTCCTTTTATCTGTGATAAGACCCCTCTTCCTGTGGCCTGGCTCAATTATATTTCTGTTGTTGGTTTTTGCAAATTGAACAAAAAATTCTCAATGTAAACATAAAGAACTAGGGCACATATTCAAACTATTGCTGATTTCACTCTTTGCTACTTTCAGAACAAGCACAATCAGATTCTAGGCTATAATAACCAATTGTCAGGTCTACAAACACGTTTAGATAGAGCACAAAGTGAGGCTGTGAAATGGGAAGCTGTGTGGACACATATCAAAAATACAGCTGCCAAGAAAACTTTACTCCTAGGCAGAATAAAAATGTAAGTTCTGAACAGTTTGTTGAGAGAAAAAGGGGGGGGGGGGGGTGCTACTCTCTACAAGACCACAGACACAGATTTACAGAGATTATTTTATGTAGCCAATATCGAATGGAATATACATATAGGCCTAGTTAGAAGATTTGAACTTCTATGAAATCCCATGAAAAGTATGCTGTAACAGTGAAATCTGTAAAGTGGAACACCTCTAGAAGTGGAACGCTTTTCAGAGTCCCAAGACCAGCTGACTTAATGTTAAATGAATCTCTATGGAACACCTCCTAAGTTGAACACTTTTTAGAGGTATCATAGTTGTTCCACTTAAACAGGTTCTACTGTATTTGAATTTTAAAATTGTATCAGCATTAAAATGATATAAGGCAATGTGTAGTGGACAGAGGGTATTGTGGGAAAGAAACAAATAAGTAGGTTCAGTGTGGGCTGATATTCAGGACAAAGGATTTTAATTTTTGAAAATACACCCATTTTTGTCAATTCTAGTTCATATTGTACAAGGATCTAATTCACACCTATTGACATATATTGCATTGTATTTCTTTTACAGGGCATCACATAATTTATACCAACTTGTGAATAGGCAACAGAAAGGTCCAAGTACACAGTCTGAAGATACTGCAGAACAATTACAAAAAGTAAGTTGTCAGGTCGAAACACTTAAACATAATTGTGTATTTAGGGTAGGGGGTGGAAACCCATTTTGAAATGTAATGAACTTGAAAATATTGGCATTGTTTATATCTAACTTTGATTTTTGAAATCCTTCCATTTCATATATTTCATTCTAGAAAGTGTCTGATTTCCAGGCATTACCTTACGACTTAGTGTCTTTTCATGTGTTCTCGTGTGTTTTTCTTAGATAATTTCAGTCCTTTCCACACTAATTTTACCACTTTTGCTTTTTTACAGATCCAGATATTCATCCAAGATCTCTCACAGATTACCTCAGATATCAAGCGATCGGAGCATATGGGGACATCAGTGGCTGGTGGTACATCTAGTGGATAGAGGGCGTTGCAATATAGACATTTACTCAACTGACATCTATCTATCAATACAAATTCCATTTTAACATTTCATTTATGTTGTTGAATACAGAATAACAAAACCAAGGTATACTCATTGTGGGATCCACCGTCTCTGCTATCCCTTTAGATAAAGAGAGACTCTGATGAATCAGAATGATGTATATTGACCCTGCCAATGTTGGTTAACCTGGTTATGATGTCATAGGTTGCAGACAGCAATGTGTGGAAACAAAATTCTATGAAGCCTTTACGGTTAGATTAATGAGATTTATTTTTGCAGTAAAACTTGGTGAGGTAGTGTCTGTAATTCTGAGCCTAAATAGACCCTTTAAATAATATTTTTGATTTTTGATAACCTGTTACTTGGATCTTAATGGATTTTGAAACATACATACTATTCTAAAAATATGAAAGCTTAGAAAAATCTCCTTGCTGAGGAAGCAGCAGGCCCGTAGCCAGGGGGGGGGGTCAGGGCGTTCAATCGAGCACCCACCTGGCCAAAAATTCTTTCAAAATCATGCAGTTTTTCAGTAGTCTGAGCGTTTTTCTAGTGATTTTTGGGCAAAAATTGTCAAAAGTTAATCCCCCTGGAGTTTTTGAGCCTCCCTCTTAGCAAATCCTGGCTATGGGCCTGAGCAGTATCAAAACTGAATAAAATACCTTCATCTTTTTCAATTTTTCAATTTCAAAAAGCAGATAAATCACTTTCTACATTTACAATTTTTCCTTAGTTATTTACGAAAAAAGAAGGTTCATGTCAAAAACATTATGAATTAAACAATATTTTGGAGTTATTTAGGCTTAGAGTTACAGCAATATTGCCCCTTTAACCGATGACATCTATTGGTCAAATGATTTACCAGTGTGGTCTTTTTATCACCTCATTGTTATTTGTTAATTTTCCATTTTTGATAATTATTTAATTTAGTTCATCATAGTAATAATTATTATGTAAATAAATGTATGTACGTATGTAAAAACGTGTAAATAAATAAAAACAAAAATTGAATTCAAGAATATTTGTTTTATTCACATTTGAAAAATTCAAAATTCACCGTACGGTGGCGTAGCAAATGTGACTGCTATTAAAGTATTTGACCGTAGAAATTCTAGGACGACCGTAACATTGCTATTAGCTGTAGGAATGATAGACCGTTTAGTCACCGTAGCAAATGTGATATACAGTAAAGCCTGCGTTAGTGAACGCCTCTCTTCATGTCTGTGATTTACCAAATCCAAGTCACATTGTATGATACACAATGCAGTACTTGTTCATGCAGCGATACTTTTTGAACAATAAACAATTGTTGGATTTACACTAGAGCCCTAAGACGTCTTGGTTAAAACGTTTTAGCGTTCAAACGTTTTACAAATGTAATGTAAATCCAGATTTTCTCAAGATTGGCTAAGAGCGCTTAGCTAAAATGTTTTAGGACCCTAGTGAAAGCCAAGACGTCTTGGCGTTAAAACGTTTTACAAGCGAGTGTAAATCCATCGGTGCTAATATAAGAGCTCTTAGCCCGTTTTTTGCATTGCACCGAACGAAACATTTGAAACTGTCTATTTACACATGTCGCATTGTCCTTTCTTTTGTCTTATGATATCATTCCAAAATTATTGAGAAATAATTATTTGCCTGGCGATCTATCATAATCCTAATTTATGCAAAAAAATCTTCCTGCTCTCTTTTATGCTTTTAACAATTCTGTCTTTAGGACATATTTTTTGAAACCGATGCATTCTTTAGCACAAAGTAAAGAAGCGGGAAAGGAATAGGTATATTGACTGGACCGTCCTTCAACCAGTACTGAACTGCTTTTTTCCATTTAACGTGTATATCTACATATCTCTAAGACGATTTAGAAAAACAGGTGTAAACTCAATCATATTATTTCGTAACGTCTTGAAAATGGTGGGGTAAACTCAACATAATTTTTCTAAAACGTTTTAGCCAAGACGTCTTGCAATGTCGCGTGTAGTGTAAATAGGGCTACTGTAATCTAATGATAAAATGGGATGTGTAAATTGACTAACGTACAAAACATTGCAAAACCCCCATTTTTTGTGTTTTCGATATCGCTGCACGTATCAATACGGCATGATAAAATCTGTGATATACTGTATATGTCAACAGTTCTATCATATGTTGTTTTGTTGCTAAATATGCACAATGTTGATTAGAAGTCTATGACAACACAAGTTACGCAATGTACAAAACAAGTATTCCAAGTATTTCTTCAAGTTTGATTTCCAATAATTAGATTCTTGTAACATTTCCAAGAAAAGTGTTCACAGTGACACATCAGATGATGAAACAGATTGTTGTCATGGCAATATACCTTGATGGATGAAAATACTGAAATTCTAATTGTTCTCCAACATTGGTAATTCTAAGATTTTATTTGAATTTCGCAGAAATGTTCGAAAGTGAATAGAGCATTTATAACCATAGAAAGCCGTGACGTTGCACAATACTTTTCACTATACCGGATTTGATTCTACATGATATTGATAGCCTACAAGACTTCTCATTCGAATATCTATTTTTTCATCACAGTGTCTAGGATAAAGAAGAAGAATTCCACAGTACATACCATAATGTCTATGGATGATAGCTATACTCATTTATTTAACCGTCACTTCTCCAAAAATATGCCTGAAAAAGAAATGGAAGAATACCTGAGCCCTGCCACACGACTTTTGGAGAAGCGACATGAAATGTCAGAGATGGAACATGCCCTAGCTGCCCAGAAAGAGGTTTGTCCTATTATTTAGTATATAGGCCTATACTTAATACATTGGCGGAATAGGGGAGGGGGTCAGGGCCACGCCCTTCCTATGAAGATGGGCCCAGAAAAACAAGTGAGCCTTTTTTGTGCTAGGCCTATACTGGGCTTTTGAGGCTTATTTTTTAATTTTAGGCCAACTTCTGCGTATAAATGTGCGATCGGCTTGCCTGAATCACGAAACGACCATTCATATTTATTCCTTGATTTGCAGGAGTTCCAGATGAAGATGGAAAGTTTACAACAAAGAAGAGAGGAACTGGAGAGAAAAGAATTTCAACTAAAAGAATCATTGCTCAAATTTGACAAATTCTTAAAGGTAACATTTTGCACTACTTTTAACACTCTGAGCTAGACTATAGAAATGACTGAATGTTTTTTCACAAAACTATTTTTTCTTCTTTTCACAACCTTTATTTTACTAGGCCTAAACAAGACGTTTCGGATCCTGTCTGGATCCTTTTTTCAACTGTTATAAAAACTGAACCGAAACGCTACAAAACAATTAAATAAAAACAATAGTACGTCATATTTACTTCACCAAAAAATCGTTCCAAATTCCCGCCAACTTATAGTTCCCTTGATCCCTGTTCATATTATGAAAAATACAGAAAAAATATGAGAGGGGATGAATAAATCAGCCATTACGGACCACGTCCTTCAGAATAATTGTGTAATGGAATGGAACAATATCACAGCTTTGGACAATGACAATAAGAGACTTGAAAGATCGATTAATGAATCTATTTATATAAAGAAGAACGATAATAATATGAACAGGGATACCTGCGTCCCCTTGCATATGCCTGGTTACGCGTCTGTTCACCGTAATTTTTCCGGAATTTCACATTTTTTCAGTGCTGCAAAAGAATTGTGTTTTTCGTCATTTTCCCGCGTTGTTCAATTTTTCCGAGCTGAGTGTTAAAAAAATTCTAGTTTTTGTGATTTTCCGGGTTTAACAACTTTCCCGAGTTGGTACATGTAGGTAGAATTCAACATATCTGACAATTCTGTTTACAGGAGAATGACTCTAAGAGGGCTAGGGCTGTCAAGAAGGCAAATGATGAGAGGGACCTCAAACGAGTAAAAGATAAAGAGATTGGCAGGTATGTCAACTTCACATGCAGATTAGATTGCCATGTCCAAAACACACGTAAAACAAAATCCCGTTCATGAGATACTACATGAGAATAACTAAAATAATTCAAAAATCTTACTTCACAGTTTAGAGATCAAGAAATTGAACGTGTATCATTGTGTCATATATTTTTAATGCCAACTTTACCATCAAAACGCTAAAAGGATTGCAACTTCTGAAGCCCCCCCGCACCCTTCTCACTCTGGATGTCCTTTCTATGAAGATGAATTGGTGTCAAACCAAACATTTAAAACCCCTCTTGTATTTACTGAAAATGGGTACATGATATATTGAGTATTTACCTCCAAAAAGGGACAAAAGAGGTTATTTGATTATTTCTTTTACTGTTTACTTTCAGCCTTTCTGAAGAAACAAGGATCGTTACTGGCCAAAAACAAAAGCTAGATGACAGACTAGAAAAGCATGCTATGTTTCATAAATACTTAGAGAGGGTTTTAGCATCAGCGGAGGAATTTCGAGAAATTCGGGAAGTTATAGCCAGATATGATACACTAGTTGCAACACATAAGGTATAGGGCTTTAGGCCCATGGTTTATCTATCTAAAATTCATTATTAGCCTCTAGATGAAAAATAGCATGGCATGCTGCTTTCTTAAATTTAAAAACTGTGTAGACTTGTTTCTTTTATTCATTGCCGATTCCACTCAATCTTGTGTAATAAAGCATGCCCACCATGTGTGATAAAATAATTTGTACAATAGGAAATATTTCTCTCATGTTTAAAGAAATCAGTTAATAAGCCTGCCCCCACCCCTGACCAAAATTCTTTCAAAACCATGCAGTTGTTTACCATTTTGAGCACTTTCAAGTGCTTTTGGGCATTTTTGGGCCAAAATTGTCAAATGTGTGCTCCTCTGACTTCTTATAAGTGACCCTCCGTAACTATGCAAAATGTTTACATTATTTTACATTTCTTCCAGGACCTCATAGAAAAAGATCACGAAAACCAGGACTTAATAGAAGACCAAAAACAGAAGTTTTCACGCTTTATTGAGGTAGTGTACCTAACAAAACTATTTCAAACTCTTTATTGCATAAGGTTCTCTATCAGACTATTGTTAAAAGGGGTTTTCATTGATTCGAGGTTGAGTCATTTTACTCGATATTTCTTTTGTTTGTTTTTGCAAATTAAACACAATTTATTGAATTTAATGAGAGTTTTAAGATAAGTAGCAACCAGGACATATTCATCATTCAACTCTTTTTTACTTTCAGAAAAAACGCTATGAGATTCTAGGCTTCAATAACAAACTGTCGGGTCTACAAACACGATTAGACAAAGCACAAATTGAGTCAGAGAAATGGGAATCGTTGTTTACACATATCAAAAATACAGCTGCCAAGAAAACTATACTCCTGGGCAGAATAAAAATGTAAGTTTGCGAATAAAAATGTAAGTTTGGAAATGCAAATAGCGGCTATCGGCTACCGAATTGATTGCAATATGATGGCAAACATTTAAATATGAACAGTACCTACCGTGTGTCCTGGTAGCTTCAAGCTATCGCGTCAAATCCAATCGCTGTATGGCTGTCCGTCTACCAATGTATCGACATTGTATCGTCATACTTTTAACGCCGAGAATTTACTTCGAACGTTGTCAAAAACGGTTTCGTACGGCGTCAAAAATGATTTTGAACGGCGTCAAAAATTATTTTGAACGCCGTTAAAAATGATTTTTGAACGGCGTCAAAAAACTTTGAATGACGTTAAAAACTATTTCGAACGGTGTTAAAAATTGTTTTTACGCCGTCAAAAAATGATTTTGAATGGCGTCAAAAACGGATCGAACGGCGTCACCTGACACGTAAATTACGTCTTTGCTGGAAGCCAATCAAAACCAGCGTTACGTCATTTTGAAATGCCATTAGTTTGAAACGATGGCTTTGATTGATTGTGCAAAATCACTATTTGACGCCGTGAAAAATAGTTTTTGACGCCGTTAAAAAAAAATTACAAAATCATTTCTTACTCCGTTCAAAAATCATTTTTAACGGCGTTCAAAATTCTTTCTGATAATTATAAGGGCGTACAAGAGCATTTTTGCCGTCGTACAAAATCGTTTTTACTCCAGCCATTACTACGACCCGCCGTTATGAGTAACACATTACTCGTATTGCCAGGTGCAGTGTCGACTAATACATACCGGGTGAAATATTGACTTTGTTCAGAGTTTGTAGAAGGCGGGAATACAGTCATCTTTGGATGTCAATTAAATCTCCAGGAACTTAGTTAATTGAAAACAAAATTTCCATTTGGTAAAACACACTGTGGTTAGAGATGCATTTTTCATGTACTACATTTCTTTTACAGGGCAACGCATAATTTATACCAACTTGTGAATAAGCAACAGAAAGGTCCAAGTGCACAATCTGAAGATACTGCAGAACAATTACAAAAAGTAAGTGCCAGTCAGGCTTGGTCAATCACTGATTTCCATTGAAAACACATCATTGTATACATTAAGGGGGGGGGGGGGGGTGAAGCCTATTTCGTCTGAAATGTTACATTATATGGATAACTTAGAAATATTGGACTTTTTTACATGGAACAATATACTTCAACAAGTTTAGTGTATTCATTGTCCATGGTACAATATATATCTGCATATGTATTTGTATACAGTGTACATGGTGCAATATGTCTCTGCAAGTGCAAGGCAATTAATGCACATAGTGCATTATGTCTCTGCAAATGCAAGGCTTCAGTATACATGGTGCAATATGTCCCCGGGAATATGTCTCTGCAAGTGCAAGGCAATTAATGCACATAGTGCATTATGTCTCTGCAAATGCAAGAAATTCAGTATACATGGTACAATATGTCTCTGCAAATGCAAGGCATTCAGTATACATGGTACAACATGTCTCTGCAAATGCAAGAAATTCAGTATACATGGTACAACATGTTTCTGCAACTTGGCATTCAGTATACATGGTACAATATGTCTCTGCAAATGCAAGACATTCAGTATACATGGTACAATATGTCTCTGCAAATGCAAGACATTCAGTATACATGGTACAATATGTCTTTGCAAATGCAAGGCATTCAGTATACATGGTACAACATGTCTCTGCAAATGCAACACATTCAGTATACATGGTACAATATGTCTCTGCAAATGCAAGGCATTCAGTATACATGGTACAACATGTCTCTGCAAATGCAACACATTCAGTATACATGGTACTGCATGTTTGCAAATGCAAGGCATTCAGTGTAAATGGTACAACATGTTTCTGCAACTTGGCATTCAGTATACATGGTACAATATGTTTTTGCAAATGCAAGGCATTGAGTGTACATTGTACAACATTGCTAGGAAATTGCGAGGCATTCGGTGTACATGGTACAATGTCTCTGCAAATGCAAGGCATTCAGTTTATATGGTACAACATGTCTGCAAATGCAAGGCATTGAAATATTGCATTTGTCCATATCTGTCATTAATTTTTCACAATTTACTGTTGGTCATTTATTTCATTTTAGAAAGTGTCTGATTTCCAGCCAGTAGGCTTTCCTTACGGCTCAGCGTTTTTATCTTGTCTATGTGTTATTCCTTACATAATTTAGTTTTTTCCACTCTAATTTTACCTTATCTTTCTTGTTGCAGATCCAGATATTCATCCAAGATCTCTCACAAATTACCTCAGATATCAAGAAATCAGAACATGTGGGGACATCAGAAGCTGGTTGTACATCTAGTGGATAGAGGGCGCTATAGCATAGACATTCACTCAACTGACATCTATCTTTCAACACAAAATCCATTTAATATTTCCATTTAATCTGGCATTTATGTAGTTGAATATAGAATTGGATTTACAAAACCAAGTCAATGTCGGCTAGTTATGATGCCATAGGTTGTAGACAGCAATGTGGCAAGTTTTTCCGGCTATTGATGAGATTTATTTTTGTAGTAAAACATGGTATAGTAGGGAGTTTAGCTAGCATATAAAATCGAAACGCCAACCTATACGTTTGACCAATCGCCCCTAAAAATGCATCGCTTAAATATTGTGAAAAATATTGCAAGCTTGAACTCCCCATTGTCTGTAATGACCTTTTACTTTACCCTTTGTATTCGTTCGACTTCGCCTCTTAAAAGGGAGATTAAAAGGGGCATGACGCGTATTTATGACGCGAATTGTATAGTTTCTAAATAGCTGAATAACGTTGATATAATAGATGTCACCCTTGTTTGTCTTTGATTTTCTTGGGCCAGACCTCCATTCACTTCAGTGCTAGAAACTTGCAATAGTCACTCAATTTCATGATTTATCACAACGTTTTGGTTGAATCTGTCTGAAACTTGAATGGCATACTATTTAATGACCCTGTAAATGTACATATTGTGATTAAACATGAAAATGTTGGCTAAAATCTCATGAAAAAACGAGAATTAGAGAGATTTCAAAGCTATTTAGAAACTCCTCTATTAGCTTAGTTGGAAAATCCTGGAATAACTAATGTGCGAATCGGATTTGTTTTACCCCAATGGTCTTACTTCATCATTGTTTTGTTAATTTATCATTTTTAATTCCATACACCATTATAAAATTATTATGTACATATATGTACAGTCGCATGTATAAAACTTGTAAATACATAAAAACAGAAATTAAATCAAGAATATTTGTTGTATTCAAATGTGAAAAGAGATAAAATCACCCTTGGTATACGCAGCGAATGATAATGTATCGGACGGGTTCAAAAGCGTGGCCGGCCCAGTTTAACGGCTATTTTTTAGATTACTCATATGTAGCTAAAGCCAGGATCAGATCTATAGATCATGACAAATTGCAAGCAGCGTGCACCAATGTATTCCGTACAGTCACAAATATAATATCTCCCGAAAGATCCAGAATATTTGAATTGGTTAAATTATTTGAAGTGAAAAAATGGAGAAAAAATGATTAGATTCTCCCAACTAATAAAATTGTAACGTAAAAATCTCCAGTTTTCTCAAATACAGTATACACTTGGGGTATTTTTAGAAAACATATAGCAAGGAATGATGATATGAGCCCGAAATATTCTAAAATTGAAACAATCATTGTCACTGCTATTACTGCTTCTCTTTACTAGATCTGATTGCACCTTAATAATACCTATTTTCTCGTGCCAAAGGAGCACGTAGGTTATCGCAAACAATTTCAAACGATTCTAACTTGAATTACAGGGTGTCCAATAAATAAGGTGAAAGATATTGTAACTTTCTTAGTATTGCACCAATCTTTATGAAATTTTCGGGGTTTGTAGCCCAAACCTTTTTCCCTATATTCTGTGAATTTAAAGCTTCTTCTATCTGATTGGCCAGAGTTGTGGTTGCTATAGCAACCGAAACAACAAAAAGGCGGGGCAAGTTTGTTTACGTCACAACTTTCCAAAACATATTTCTTCTTTCTGATAATTTTATTCTTACTTCCAGGTCTATTTCTGCCACAAATACAATATAAAAACAGTCCTAAAGTCCCATTGTTATGAAAATAAGCTATTCAACATAATGCCCATCTCTAGCTATACACTAATTCTTTTGCCTATTCACCCACTCTCTAAACACACTTTCAAACCCATTCTTGCCCATTTCCTGAAGTCTTGCTAAGACATGTGATCTGAGTTCATCAGCGCTTCCAAATGTATTTCCTCTCAAATCACGCTTGAGTTCTGCATATAAGTAAAGTCATTGGGTGCAAGGTCTGGGGAATATGGAGGGTGTGCAAGTAGGGGTAGTCCCAGTACCCTAATAGTTTCACTAGTGAGCATAGCTGTGGGTAGACTCAGATCACATGTCTTAGCAAGACTTCAGGAAATGGGCAAGAATGGGTTTGAAAGTGTGTTTAGAGAGTGGGTGAATAGGCATAAGAAGTGTATAGCTAGAGATGGACATTATGTTGAATAGCTTATTTTCATAACAATGGGACTTTAGGACTGTTTTTATATTGTATTTGTGGTAGTAATAGACCTGGGAGTATGAATAAAGCTATCAGAAAGAATAAATGTTTTGGAAAGTTGTGACGTAAACAAACTTGCCCCGCCTTTTTGTTGTTTCAGTTGCTATTGCAACCACAACTCTGTCCAATCAAATAGAAGACGCTTTAAATTCACAGAATAAATGTAGAAAGGTTTGGGCTACAAACTCTGAAAATTTCAACAAGATTGGTGCAATATTGGTGATTGGTGCAAGAAAGTTACAATATCTTTCACCTTATTTATTGGACACCCTGTATGAATATTTTCTGATCATGAACATGGGTGTATCTTTTAGATCCATTCATTATCTTCAGGAAAAGTATATATATTGATAATCTAGTTAATCAGACCTAAGTGATATTGAAAGGGCAATGGACCAATCAACATACTTTTTCAAAAATGTTGACCTAACTTTCACCAAAAATGCAACCTTTTATTATATTGTTGAATGCATAATTAGAATGTGCTTTAACACATGTTCGATTTCCTAAAAGGAAAAGTTGATTGCTCCAGTGACTTTAAAGATACTGAATTTGGATGACCAAAATAAACTGAAACTAATAGATAGCATGAGATTTTTCAATGGAGAAATATCATGGGGAACACTTATCTTAAAGCAATTAAGTTTTTCTTTCAAGAACTATTTGATACATCAAAATAGAGAATAGCAGTAATGCATTAAACCTTCTGAAATTGTTTGCGATAACCTACGTGATCCTTTGAAATCTATATGATATCTTGGAATGTGTGGAAGCTTCGGGATTTTTTACAGATTTTTTTAGACGAATTTAATCTTTTGAATACGCATTAGGCCTAAGTCTTTTCTTCCTTTTTTAAATCTACGATATCTTGGGATGTTTGGCGAAAACATATTTTCGCTGCGTATACCAAGAGTGAAAATGAGGAAAACTAAGAAAGTTGTACAACAATCTCATAATGGTATGAATGATAGTTTTTTCAAAACAAATGTCACGGAGTTGTATTGTACCATGGGCTTTCAACAGGGGAGGGGCTTTCAATTAGAGTTGAAAGCCCATGATTGTACCTTTATAAATCTTGTGGATACGTTACCACGGGAGTTGTACCATTTACACGTGACAGTTGAACGCTAGTGGTAAGGTACAGGGAGAGCCAAAAAGGTAAAAAAACACTCAGATATCTCTCAGCATGTAAAAAACCTGTACTGTAGAGGATATGTCGATAATACTGTATTGCTCTGTTGCTAAATGTACATAATGTTGTTGTTTTTTGGTTACCATGGCAACAATACCAATAATTTTAGATAAATTTGGATGCTGTTATACTTGACTCTATATTCGATAGTTATTTATTGTTATTCATACAGTTTCATCGCAAGGCAAATGGAAGATTAAGTATAAAATTATTAAAATGCTCAAATTTAGCCATAACATTTGAATATATGACGTCGCAGTGACACCGAAACATGGTCAAGAATGAAAACTTACAATTCAACGGCAAACCTATTTCTCTTAGTGTCACCACTATCAATATAATAAAATAAAACACGTGTCAGATATATCAATAATCCTGTTTTATGTTGTTTTCATATTAAAGTTTCCTAAATGTTGTTGTTTTTTGGTTGCTATGGCAACGGCAACCTTAGTTCAAGATTGATGAAGGTGGTAGAGAAGGACCTGACATACTCAGCTTTAATTTGGTACATGATTATGGTCACCCTGTATTAGGTGGGCCATAGGATCCAATTTTTATAACACAATGTACAAAACAACAGGTATTCCAAGTATTTCTTCAAATTTGATTTCTAAGTAATTCGATGCTTATAACATTTTAAAGAAAGGATTGTTGTCATGGCAATGGACCTTGATGGATGATTATGCTGAAGTTTCTAATTATTCTCCAATATTGGTATTTCTAAGATATCATTTGAATTTCACAGAACTGTTTACAAAGTGAATAGAACATTCATAACCATTGAGAGCCGTGGTTACTCGTTGCAACAGACTTTCGTTCTGGCCTACATTCAAAATTTGATTCTAAATACAAGACTCAGTCTACACACCAGGATGTCTATGGATAGCTTCTATACTCATTTATTTAACCGTTACTTCTCTAGAAAGTCTGAAACTGAAAGGGATGATGACCACCTGAGCCCTGCCACACGACTCTTGGAGAAGCGACGTGAATTGTCAGAGGTGGAACAGGCCTTAGCTGAAAAGAAGGAGGTTTGTGTAATGCTGTTAACATGATACAAATATATGTCATATTCCGCAATGTACCACGAGAATGCGCAATAGAGAAGTTTCCTTATTAAGATTTTAAGAGATTTGCACTTTTATAACAACTAATTTTTCATATTTCAATTCAGTGAAAAGTTTCCAAATAATAAATTTGATTTACATAGTTATGTCATTTATATAATTTGTCATGACGTTTTAAAAAACTTGGGCCAAATCTGGTGTAATGCCAAGATTCTTTAAAACCCTGGTTAATTCATTTGACAAACTTTCAAGATTATTCAAAATCACAATAGCAGGTACATTTACCGGGTCTAGTATTCCATTTGAGTTTCAGACAGATTCAACCAACACTTGTAAGGTACCTATTGATCAGTATCTTAATTTTAGGATTAAAGCCCTGGATTCAGTGCATTGTATGCTGAATCATTCCTCTTGAAGTAAGAGGAGGAGAAACCCCAGGGTCAAAGATGACATACATGTACGCTTGTAATGCAAATCTGTATTGAGATGACATCGTCGCTGATTGGTTTAAAGAGTCGATCGTTGATTGGTTTAAAACTAGGTCAATTTAAAAACTTTGAAAACCAAGATGGAGGGTAAGTACTTCCAGGAAAGGAGGTGCGCGAAGGAGGAAATCGTATGTCATCAATTGAATCATGGGGTTTTCCCTCCTCTTTCTTGAAGTTGTTAAATTGCAAATCTTTGCATGACCACGCAGACACATTGCAAAATATTTTCTACAAAATCACCTTAAAGATAAGAAATCAACCTAACCAAACGGACATTATAGATCTACAACATTTCAGATTCAGGGAGTAGACAACTATAGCAGTACGACGTATTGTAGGCCAGACTGGTTTGGTTACGCGCGACCATGAATATGCCATATTCCGCGTAACAGTTTGTCTTATAGGTCAAAACCTCCCCAAAATGATACGAAGGGGAATTCTGAGTTTCTGTTCTGGAGGCAATGTCATCCATGTAAGGAAATATTTTTGCTTCCCTGTTCTCTACATGATATGATTTGAAAAGGCCTAAGATTTGAAAAAATTACAAAATATATAATAGAAATTATTATAAAAAAAATCAACCGTTAAGACTGAATTATGAAAATTTTATATGAGCCATTTTTTCTTTTTTGCAGGAGTTCCTGATAAAGATGGAAAGTATACAACAAAGGAGAGAGGAATTGGAGAAAAAAGAATTCCAACTGAAAGAATCGTTGCTCAAATTTGACAAATTCTTAAAGGTAACATTTTGCTTCACTATTTTAACTCTGAGCTCTCTGAACTGTAGAAATAACCAAACTTTGCTGTTTTATTAGTTTCTCGGGCAAATCTAAAATACCTTGACATACCTTGACATACCTAGGCCTATACTGATATACTAATGCAATAAGTCTAAAAGCCCTACCTATTTTTAGATTTCACAACCAACACAAATAATACACCCCACATTTAAATGAATTCTCCGGAAGGCAAAGATGGTCTGAGAATCAGAACGGGATCTTACACCCAGTCGCCTTTATAAAATGAAAACAAAATAAATAAAAATAAAATAAAATGAATTTTTGAACTTTCCACTCTACTAATAACATTTTGACCCCATCCCTTGAAGAGGTGAAATGTAAGATATACACTTTCAACATGTTTGACAATTCTTACAGGAGAATGACTCTAAGAGGGCTAGGGCTGTCAAGAAGGCAAATGATGAGAGGGACCTCAAACGAGTAAAAGACATTGAGATTAGCAAGTATGACATTACTGTTTGTCAAGAGTTTAACTTCAGATGCAGATTAGATTACCATACTCGCGGAACAAAATCCCGTTCATGAGATACTTCACATACCTTTTTTCTTGTTATAATAATTAGAATAATTCAAAAATCTTATCACACTGTCATAGTGTCTATTACTTTATATTCTTAAACATCCTAAAGGATTGACTTCTACCCCCCCCCCCTGTTCTCATTCTGGATGTAAACATCCTTCCTAGGAGGATGAATTGGTTACAAGCCAAAATATTCTAAAAACCTCTTTTAATTTCCTGAAATGGGTGCATGACATTTACCTTCAAAAATTCACACAAGAGGTCATTTGATAGTTTTCTAAATATTTACTTTCAGGGTACGTGCAGAGACAGGCGTATTTGCTAGCCAGAAACAAAAGCTACATGACAGACTAGAAAAGCATGCTATGTTTCATAAATACCTAGAGAAGATTTTGGAATCAGCGGGCGAATTTCATGAAATCCGGGAAGTTATAGGCAGATATGATACACTTGTCTCAACACAAAAGGTAGGCCTATGATCTATTTAAGAAATTCGGTCATTCCAATCATTTCGGTCGGTACAGAAAACATTTGTACCTAGCCCTGCGGAATATATTCGTCGATATAATACCAACGATTCATAGCATAGGCCCAGGGAAAAGTATTAGCAAGCTGAATCTAAAAACAGGTTGATAACCCCGACTGAGATCACTTTTTAGATGACGATTCCAACAATATTTGTTTATTTTTTCAAAAAACAATGGAAAATTGATAGAAAATTGATAGTTTTCAATCCTTACCTTTGAATAAACCCAGTCAAGTGATCGTGTGAATAAAGCTGCCTTAAAGTGAGAATTTCTGAAAATCTGCATTTGTGTAGCAAGATATTTGTTTGAAACAAGTGATTTGATTGGTTTCTGTCAACCGCCGTATGTGACACACTTTCAACTTGCCCCACAAATGCAGATATATACGGTAGAGCCGGTAGTTTTCTTTTTATTTATCGAAAAGTCAGGGTAAAGATTTGGAATAATCAATGATTGAAACACTTTAGAGAAGATTCTTGAGAGATTTTGGTGATACAATTTGATACCAGTAAGGAGAACTCGTACCAAGACAAGTTTTTGAAAAGTATTTCAGTGGGGCTTGTCAACCTTCTGTAATCAGATCGTGTGACAACGTACTTCAAACGAGATGGCCTACTTGACCAGGAACAGATTCAGCTTCCCAATACTTTCCCCGGCCGTGCCTACGATTCATAGTTCGAATGGACACCTGCTCTTCACTCTTCATTTCCTATTACCGGTTGACCAGATGTTGTATCGACGAATAGATACCGGGTGTTATATTGACTTTGACAACTAAAGTAAATAAAAAAGCCCATGGGTGAATTGTGCCTTACATGCTATGCATTACTGCATTTTACATTTCTTCCAGGACCTCATTGAAAAAAGTCATGCGGACCAGGATTTAATAGAAGACCAAAAACAGAAGTTTTCACGCTTTTTGGAGGTAGTGTACCTAACAAAACTGTTTCAAACTTAATCTTGCTGCCCAAACACTCTTTTGTTAGTGGGGCCGGGGTTTTCCCAGATTTGAGTTCTGTTCAATTATCACTAATTTCTTTTGATTTATGTTTTTGCAAATTAATTATATGTGCAAAAATGTGTTGTCCTATTCCATCTCTCTGGGTTATGCTGAATATAATTGAAGCAATTTTGAATCGAGTCTAGCAATACCGATTTTTGAACTTTTTGACTTTTTTGGGGCCACCAAGAGATCGGATTCCAAAGCTGAAAGATATTTGGAATCAGGGTTCTCAATACTTCATTGGGATGCAATTCCTAGTTTTCAAATTTTGCCCCACCAAGGTGACCAATTTTTAAGAATGAGTGAGATTATGCCATGTACAAAATCTAGGCAAACAGCTATAGTGTCTCCTTTAATAGGAAATAAATTTTACGTCATTTTACGATAAAGGTCAAAGGTAAAGGTCAATTGAATTTTAAACTTGTTGACCTTTTCAAGGTTACCCGGAGGTCGAATTCCAAGACCGAAAGCATATTTGGAATCAAGGGCTTCAACACTATATATTAGTAAGAATCGGGAAGAAGTAGTTTTTTGCTTCATGAGGTGTCCAATTTTTAACAAATCGGCATTCTAATAACCATGACATATTCAAACCATTGCTGATTTCACTCTCTTCTGCTTGTTTAAACTTTCAGAAAAAACGCTATGAGATTCTAGGCTTCAATAACAAACTGTCGGGTCTACAAACACGATTAGACAAAGCACAAATTGAGTCAGAGAAATGGGAATCACTGTTTACACACATCAAAAATACAGCTGCCAAGAGAACTTTACTCCTAGGCAGAATAAAAATGTAATATCAGGAAGATTTAACACTAAGTTGGCATCTGTAAAACATACTGTCATTTAAATCAAATAGTTTTTATCACTTACATATTATTAATTAAATCTCAATGAACTTAGTTGATCGAAAACAAATTTCCATCAGGGGGAAACACTGTGTGTAGAGATACTATTGTTCATGAATTACATTTCCTTTACAGGGCATCATATAATTTATATCAAGTTGTAAATAGGCAAGAGAAAGACACTAGTGCACATTCTGAAGATACTGCTGAACAGTTGCAGAAAGTAAGTGGGCACTCGGCAGGTCATAACACCGACTTCCATTGAAAAAATAATTGTATAGCCTCGCTACCTTTAGGGGGGGGAAGTGGGAGGGGGTAGATTTTGAAATCTTCCCAATCAACTGTTGGTCATTTATTTCATTCTGGACATCCAGAAAGTGTCTGATTTCCAGGCCTTGCCTTACGGTTAATGCTCTCGTGTCTTTTGCTCTTCTTAATTTCATTAATTGATTTAGTTAATTTCAGTCCTTTTCACTCTTTCCTTTTTACAGATCCAGATTTTCATCCAGGATCTCTCACAGATTACTTCAGATATCAAAAAATCAGAGCATGCTGGGACATCAGATACTGGTGGTGCATCTAGTTGATAGAGGGCGCTGTAGTATAGACTTTTACTCAACTGACATCTATCTATCAACACAAAATTCATTTGAACTTTCCCAAAAATGTGGCATTTATATTGTTGAATATAGAAATGGAATAAAAAAACTATATAAAGGTATATTGACCATGTCGATATTGGTAAGTTATGATGTCGTAGGTTGCAGATAGTAATGTTGATATACCCAGAATGTTGTCATATCAAATGTTTTCAATTTGTACCACTAATAAACTTTGGGTAAAACCCTTCTATTCTAAAAATACCTAAGCTTGAAAAAGGTTCCAATTGAATCAACCACTATTTTTTAATTTTAAAAGTCAATTAAAACACTTTCTGCATTCACATTTTTTCTCAATGATTTGCGGAAAAGAAGGTTTATATCAAAATGTTTTTGTTTTGTAAGTTACATAGCATAATGAATTCAAAATATGTTCGAGTTATCGAAGATGAGATTTACATCAATTACACCCCAGTCACATTTCCTACGGCGACCTTGCGGTCTATCATTTCTGCGGCCAGTAACATTTCACATTTCCCACGGCAGCCGCACGATGAATTTTAAATTTCTGTTGATAAATAATACTTTTTTCATTTTATTTACATCGGGACAATTTATAAATGTTATTCATAGTGCTAGGATGTAATATCAAATGAAAAGTGATCGTGAAACATTGACAAATAATGATTCAATCTTGTTGAGCCAGTTGATTTCTATTGGGACCTCAGAAATGAACAAATATTATAACTCCGAGTAATAATTTCTACGGCGACCTGTGGCCTGTAAAAAACTGGATACGCCGTACGGAGGCCGCAAGGCGAGCGTAGTTTTCCTAAGCTCGCCGCAGAAATACACTGATTTAATTGATCTACGGTCGACGCACGGCCTCCGTACGACGAATGTGACTTGGGTGTTACCCCCAATGACATTGGGTCATGCAAAGATTTGGAAACAACATCCTCGTGGAAAGATTCAACACACAATGCACTGAGTCCAAGGCTTAAATCCTTAAATGTACAATGTATGTATTATCTAAATATAGAAAATATTTTTTCAAGAATAATTTGAAAAAGAGGACAAAACAATTTTGCACAATTATCTGAGAGTGTAGAATAATTGATTTGACATTTTGACCCATAACAAACATTGATAACAAAAAGCTAACAAATGACAAATTAACTGAAAATAGCAGGTGTTTCTATGAGAAACAATCTAAATGTTTCTAAACTCATAAATACAACCACGTCACATAATCCTGACAACACATCATTATTGATGTTTTTACAGTTTGCAAAACATCCAGACAGTTTTATTGTAAAAGTCAATTTACAAAGCTATGGGTGACATAACACCTGTACTTTTAAATGTTATGCAAAAATGCATTAACTCTTTCAAAGTAAAAGTTTAATTCAAGTTTATTCATGTGTTGTTTTAAGAGATCGTTAGACCCTATGGGGTTAAGTAGAAGTTCTATTGGGTGAATTAAGTATATGGCTTGTTTTTAAATAGTGTTATCCTTAGATTTACCTTCAATAATTGAAGTAAGTAAAATGTACTAAAACTCTATTATAAAGGATGTTTTATCCAAATATGAACTTTTCATGAATTCTAATGATTGAAAATGTCAGCATATAGGCTCAAAATGCTGATTGTTTTGTCAATGGCTTGTAAAAGATAGTTGGTAGCATGTAAATGGAAAAATCCCAAATTAAAAAAACACAAATTAGAGCATCGTATGACGCCGAAATGAAATGAACATATTTTACAGCGGCTTATCTCTAAATCAGTGTCATAATTGTGTAGCAGACGAACAGAGACTGACAAGTGGCAAAGTCAGCAGGTGAAAACAACAGAATATAGAAAAAAATCCATGAATTGTAATTTGATGATTGTAGGTAAAATATTAATATTATTATATTAGTACATGTAATTATTGATCGAGACATAATATGCCACAAAACAGGGAAAAAATATACTGGCTACCCTGAGTCTATATCAGCTAGCCACAATACACTCTGACTATCAAAGATAATTTCATATTTTTGGGATATTAATGCTCACAAATGCATCTTTCAAGAAATATTATCGAAGTTTGAATATTTTAATGAATGTCATAAAAGCCAAAAATATATTAGTGAGATTTTCCGACTTCATATCCTTATAAAGTGACAAATGTTGACAAAAAATTACTAGACAACATATGATGTAAAAAATGAACTATCAAATAACAAAACAAAAATACAAGGCATCGTTTATAAAGTATTACTTATAAATTACAGGTAATGATGGAAAGCAAATACATTCATTTAAAAAGACAAGGTTAAATCATAACTTTAATACTGAAGAGTGTAGACACTAGACAGGGTTAAGGTCTTGCAAAGGGTATGTGCTGCTGGTTTGTAGTGACGTGACACTGATTTTGTTGAACAGGAATTATTTGTATAAATTATTCATGTGTATTAAACTGCAATAAGCGTTCCTTGGTGGAGGAAAACCTACAAATGCTTGCGGTAACATTTATTGGATTTATGATCAAAATATTTGGAATTATTAATGGCATTATAAACGTTACGGGATTGGTAGCCAGTAATACACGTAATATCGATGAAGAAATCTGACTTAACACTGGCCTCGTAGCGTTTGAAATCTTGTACAATATAATTACGGAGGCCCCATAGACAGCTGAAGTCCATAATAGGTGATGTAATGCACATGTCTATGGATTCTAGAAACAGAAACAAGGAAATCAGTGTTGGATGTGAAAAGTGGAAATTGTAAAGATGAAATTTACAGGTAGGAATATTTTTGTAATTTGGTTATTATTAAAAGCGATCATTTATTGATATTCATATTATTGATTGATCATTCTGGTAGCATTGAATTGGAAAATAAATATTGGATGTGGAAATGATCAAGGTAACATGAATTATCCTACACTTAGTGTGCTAAATGTATGATAACATTAAAAAATAAATTTGATATCTATTGGCAAAATGAATAACCGGGGGATATCGCCACGATATACTCCGGAAAACCCAATATGCGGAGGATATAGTGACGATATACTCCGCTTGTTGATTTCCCGCATCTTGGATTTCCAAGATATGATGTTTTCAAAATCAAACTGGGAAACGAGTATGGATTTCCCGCCAAATTGAAATTTGGCATGAAATTCATTTTGAAATGATATTAAAGGCAGAATCTGATCTATAGGGGGTGACAAAATTACAAGCAACATGTATAATTGACCTATTCCTTGCAATATCAAATACAATATCTCCCAAAAGATTCACAATATGTTATAAATTGGTGAAGTTATTAATGATTCAAAGTGCAAAACTGAGTGACAAATGTTTAAATTCTCCCAAATAATAAGAATGGTTACCATTCTTATAGAAAAATAATACATTATTGTAAAAATCCTTTGTTTTCCTGGAATAAAGTATGCAGTATAAAGTATAAGTATTTTCCAAAGATTTCGTAGACATCATACAGTTAATGTTCGACGAATTGCTCCATTCCAAATCCCAACAAAAATTACATCATTTTCACATCGATCCTGTATTTTACAAGCAATGATAGATTGGAATACCCTTTCAAAGCCCCTCATAGAAGCTGAAAATTTAAGTATATTTAAGTCAAGGGCAAAGAAAGAGTTATCTAATTCAATTATTCGATCCTCTGAACTTAATATTTCAAGAAATCAAGAAATTATACTTAACAAGGTTCGTTGTGACTTAATTTTTAAGTCCCATCTATACTCTCATAATTTTACAAACGTTACTTCACCTGCATGTTCTTGTGGCCATGCAAATGAAACAACAATTCATGTAATTTTTTCCTGTATTCTCCGTGCTCCATTCTTAGAAGAGTTGGAAAACAATTTAGCTTTTCTTAATCTGGTTATTCTCAATTCAAACACAAGAGGGACAAAGTAGAATTATTTCTTTATGGGGATTCAAACTTAACTAAATTCTCAAGCTCACTGCATCATTTTTAGAAAAATGTGCAAATGTGTACACTCCCCTCCATAAGTTTGGCAACCTTTTTTCTCCATTGACCTACGTGTTAAAGCCTCTTTACGTTTGAATTTTTATTTACTTAACCGGCGATGAAATAACTTATAATATTAATGGAAACGTAACTTGACTTTATTTCCAATACCTCCAAATTTTCTCAATTTTTTCCTCAATTACAATAGGTCGAAAATTGATGATAAATTTGATGAATTTTTGAAAATCGTCATTCCCATGTAATCCAATGGGAAATGGAGGGTTCGGGGCAAATCAGAAATCAGGATATCTTTTCAGTAAAAGATTCAGCAAAAAATATTTTCATATAGAAAATTGAATTGTCTAACTTTTTTGAACACTAAGTGTTTAGTTTATTTGATGAATATTAAAGTTACAGCGCTTCAAAGTCATTTTTGAAAAGAATTTTTCGCCTCCTGTGTTATTTCAATGGGAGAGGTTTTTTGAAAAACAATTTTGACTTTAAAGCCCTATAACTTTGTTGAACCTGAAGAAACATATCAATTTTTTGTTAAATAAAGTTAGCAAATTCAATTACCTGCCTAACTCGTATTTTTTGCAAGGACTCAGATGGATGGATATTCTGTCATATGACTTGCGGCAAACCTACCATTTCCCATTGGTTAACATGGAAATGTCGATTTTCAAAAATTCATCAAATTCATCATCAATTTTCGACCTACTGTAATTGAGGAAAAAAATTGAGAAAATTTGGAGGTATTGGAATTAAAGTCAAATTACGTTTCCATCAATAGTATAAGTATTTTCATCGCAGGTTAAGTAAATAAAAATTCAAAGGTAAAGAGGCTTTAACACGTAGTTCAATGGGGGAAAAAAGGTTGCCAAACTTATGGAGGGGAGTGTAGGTTTCCCTGCCACCACTCACTTCACTCTTGAGTCCATATTTAAATGTTTCTTTTTTCTTCACCCTGCAATTATAAATCAAGTGGCTGATAATGCCTTCAGCAAAGCCACTACAAGTGTATAATGTTTATGTACGTTATGTATTTGTAAAATAAATTCTATGAATAAAAAAAAATAAAATAAATAAAGTATGCACTTTTCTGATTTTTAGAAAATAGACATGACAA